GTAGCTTCAACAGCATGTGTGCAGGAATAGGCGTATTTACATCCTGGGTGTTTATAAATCATCAGAAAGTTTGCCATATTATTAATTAATTAACTTCATCTGACCAGCAGAGGGCAATCTAGGCCCCAGGAAAAAAACTTTTTGAGTTTTTGTGTTTCTAGGAAAAAGGGGGTAATGTATAATCATCAGAAGTACCCAAACTTGTGATTGGGAATGTTATGGCAGTCAATCCAGGTCTGCTGACTTCTAAACCATGTTCTATTTCCTAAATTACTGATTGCAGAACTTTAGCTGTTTCTAAAGAGACAAATTGAGACAAGGATGTTATGGCTCATGTCAGGGGTAACATTTCAGATGCCTTTAACTGCCTCTTCAAGGAAAGCACCTGCATTACAAGGTGAAAGGAACATGGGATCCTCTTTCCTGGTTGCCAACCCACATCTATTCACTTACATTCTTCCACAGACTCAACAACCAACCAACCCCCATGTGTGAGCCAAGGCTGAAGACCATCTGTGTAAGAACTAAGGCCTGGAGCAGGATGTGCATTGAACATGGAGCTCTTGAACCTATACTGGACAACCAAATCCAAATCTCCAGGGTCAGGATCGTGCAACCTGCATTTTGCCACATGCGCATTTAGACTCTGCAATCAACTGCAGTGTATGATTCATGGATCTAAATGAGAATGAGAGAATGCTCATCTTAGGAGCTGGTTTCTAACCGTAGACATCTAATTCCCTCTGGAGACACAAGGAGTGAGTAGCAAAGCACCAAGGAATGGCCAGGAAGATGGTGGGAAGTTCAGACCCTGTACACCTCTTCTAACAACAGTAAAGTTCAGAAAAGCACCAGGAAGCCTGAGATTTGCAAGACTGCTCAGACGGAAGGTGGACATGCGTACACATAACATGGCTGAATCAACAGACATGCCAATATCTCAACTGAAGCAAAAGCAGTAAATAAGAAGTTGAGTAATAATAATGAGTAATAATGAGTAAACAATGAGTAATCAGGGCCCAGTGTGTTAGCCTAGTGGCTGAAGTTCTTACCTCGCATGTGCCAGGATCCCATATGGGTGCCAGTTCTAATCCCAACGGCCTTGCTTCTCATCCAGCTCCCTGCTTGTGGCCTGGAAAAGCAGTTGAGGACAATCAAAGGCCTTGGGACCCTGTACCCATGTGGGAGACCCAGAAGAATTTTCTAGCTCCTGGCTTTGGATTGGCACAGCTCCAGCTGGTGCAGCCGCTTGTGGAGTGAATCATCGGATGGAAGTTCTGTCTCTCCTCCTCTCTGTATATCTGACTTTCCAATAAAAGTGATCTTTTGAAAAAAAGTTGGTGAGTTATCAATTGCTACTTAAAAGTTTTGTATAGATTAGTACATCAGGATACATCCCAAACTTGCTTGTCTGGTCACTCGGGAAACTGCTATACTAACTGACTCAACTGCTTCAGCAAAGGAAAAAGCAGCCAGCAGAGCTTGAATGCAGGCTGAACCAGACCTCACATTCCCCAGCCATCATGCTCATTAGAAAGCTATATTTGGTGTGTAAGCAGAAAGAGCAATTTAGTGGGGAGGGGGGAAATTACTCAGCAGTGTATTCATGTCTTATCTCTCTCAATGCCAAAGGCAGGGCCTCCACACCTGGGAACAGCTGGGTCTCCCTGGGCAGTACCACCCCACATCAGGCCAGTAACTGGCAACTGCACCTGCCTGGATCACTGGAGAAGTACATACTGCTGGGAGTCCAGTCCGCATCTATGAAAAGATCAGAACATCTAGAGTCATAGTCAGGCCATCTGTTTTAGCAAGACTCTTTTTCAAATTCATTTTTTAAAAGCTTTCATGCTTTCAATCCTATTTTTTTTTGTCAGTTTTCAGATTACTTGTTTGATTTTTCTGTATGGAGTTCTTACACATTGTTTGTTTAGCTATTTTCTTGATCATTATTTTAAAAAGGGATTCATTAATAAATTGAAGTCTCAGGGTCACTGCAAATACATAACCACAAAACAGTTCTTTCCAATTCTCATACTAATGTGATGTTAACTCCTAGAGAACAGATTCTGTGCAGTTCATAGCTACAGTTCTAAGAATAATACTCTCCCTCTTCTTTGGGAGATTATATTTGGAATGCACATTTACAAAGGCTTTTATGCTCCACTAGATAAAGGGTTGAACCAGGAAATGGAAAAAAGCAATAGATTCAGGAAATTCTGATACACATCAGTGTCACGTGGACTGTGGTTCACTTCCTAGCCTTGTCTGATGGCAAGTACAATTCCTTAGGCCCCCTCATGGGGGATTCTGAACATCTGGTGTGCAAATCAGGAAATCCAGCAGGCACAATTACCCGGAGGTGACTTCACTATCAGGTAATTTTAGGAGACCCGAGGTGCCTTTCTGATTTCTTATCTCCATGGGTCCTAATGGAATTAGATATTCTGATAACAGATGCACTTATGAACTGCTGGTAAGAATTGTTAAGAATGGATTCTCTGACCTTCTCCCAGATTCTAGTGAGTCAGTCAGTCACCTTCCGTTTTGGACAGCATGGTACTCAGATACTGCCAGCTATCCTTGCTTCCAAAGTTCACACAATCTGCTCCATTTCTGTCAAGAATCAAAGTTCTCTCCTGCCTCAGCGGAAGGAATGCAGGCTGGCAGAGCAAGGTTAGCAAGATGGCTGTTGGCAGTTGAAGTCCTTGCCTCACACGTGCCGAGATCCCATATGGGAACTGGTTCTAATCCTAGTGGCCCCACTTCCCATCCAGCTCCCTGCTTGTGGTCTGGGAAAGCAGTCAAGGATGGCCCAAACCTTGGAACTTTGCACCCATGTGGGAGACCCAAAAGAGGCTCTGGGCTTCTGGCTTCAGACTGGCTCAGCTCCAGCTGTTGCAGTCACTTGGGGAGTGAATCATTGGACAGATCTTCCTCTGTCTCTCCTCCTCTCTGTGTATCTGACTGTCCAATAAAAATAAAATTAAAACATCTTTAAAAAACCTTTTTTTTTTTTTTTTTGCTTGACAGTTCCTTTGACCTAGGGTAGTAACAGGTCCCCAGTAGCCAAGCTTGAAATTGCTGGTTATGCCCTTGCAGGATGGTTAGAGTCTTCACATATCACCTGACATTTCCAACAGTGGCTCAGCTACATCCTCCTTCCACATAAATCCTTCCAACACCACTTTATCAACTCCAGAAGAAGTAAGGCAGTCAGCATGTGGTCATGCCATAGTCTTTAACTGCCTAACGTGTGCACTTTAAAAGTGTCCATGTGGTTCCATCCAGAACACTCAAAGTTGTCTTGAAAACCCATACTTGGGATAATTCTGATCTCCTAAGCAGTGTATGCAGAATAGGACTTGGCACATGCCAAGACTCTGTTCCAGGCAACTCTCTACTGTTGGTCACATAATTCTGATGCTCTATGTTTTCTAAAGGAATCAAAGTGTTTTCCCAGTTTTCTCTATAACATCTATTAAATCTCTTAGAAAAAAAAAAGAAATTTACATATTATTTTAATTTAGTTCTACGAGTTCGGTCTGTGAGAAAATGAAGAAAAAGCAAGTTAGAAGTTTAACTTCCAATAGTATTCCACAATTGCCTATTCTTTTCTGTATTTAAGGTTCTGTATTAAGATGCTATACATCAATAAAAACAACATGTTCAAACTGTTCTGAATTTCCTACATACATCCTTACCGATCTCCAGAACACTCCTTTAAGTAAATTTCATATTCTTCCTGGGATTGGCACTCATGGCACTTTTGTTTTGACACTGATTCATAATCCATTTGACGCAGGATCTTACTGTTAACTTCCCTTTGGAGTCATGAAAACAAATTAAATAGCCACATTTGAAATGAATGTATAACCTTAAAGATAATGGGATGACTTACTGGTCCAAATATGGTTGAATGCATGTGTTCAAAAACACAAAAACCAAATTTCAGATGTTTTGATTGAGACTGTACTGAATTCACAGGTGAACTTATGGAGAAATAATACTTCATATCCATGAATACAGAATGTCTTTTCTTAAACATGCGTCAGAGTTTTCAAGCAAGATTTAGGGTAACCTAGGTAGATCTATATGAATGACATTTTTGATTGGTAGATATTTGCAAATTATATTTTCTAAGTAATTATTTGTATACAAAAGTATTTTTATAAACATCTCAAATTTAGAAATTGTATTAAATTCATTTAACTATTTTAATAACTTATCACTGGATTCTTCTGCATTTTCTATATGCACAATGTCACTGGAAGTTTCTATTTTTAAATTGGTTTAAAGAACTGATTCATAACACACTAAAGCTCATATAGCAAGCAAAATACATTCATCCTAAACTAGCTCATACAAAGACCTTAGTAGATTAAAGCTATTCATACCAGATTAGAAAATATAAAACATTATCCTTGACACAGAAGAATACAAAGGGTCATTACAATAGAACTTGCTCATTCTCTTGGGAGTTCAGTAACTACATGGATATACTCCATGTATACCACTTCCCTGTCCCCACTTACCTCCTCCAGCACCAAACATACATATCAAGAACAAAGAATTCAGCTAGTTCTTTCTCTTGAGGAAGAAAAGAAACAGGGTGCCACATAATTCAAAATTCAAAATAAAAAATAAATATATAAGAAAAAGAAAAGAAACAGGGGCCAGCTTGACATAGTGTATTTTATTTGTCACTTTACATATTCTTCTGATGTCCCACTGATGATAATCTCACTGACGATAGTCCTTGTTAAAGGACTTTCTCTCCCCACCTTCTTAGTCCGTCTCCCAAGTTCTTTTTTCAGAGGTTACCTAGAGGATGCCAATGGTGAGGCTGGCTCAGTTCATGCTGCCGGAACTTCCCCTACATGCAGAGGTGGATTTGACATTGGAGCTATGCCTGCATCAGAGAGCAATGAGGATGAACCTTAATCCACCCATTATCGGACCCAAAGAACTGACACCAAATGAAGGGACACAGCCTGTGGTTCTGTCTTCAGCAGTATTTATTGGAAACAGCGATGCTTCCCATGGTGAGAGTTTATACATTAAGCAGTAAGATTTGCCTTTCACTCCACGTGATCCACTACCGGCAGGTGGCACATCAGAAGCAGCACATTTAAACCTCTGAAAGAGTCTGTACAGCTAGATAAATAGAACTCTGGATACCTAACAGGACTTTCATGGCTGATACAGGGGAAAAACACTGAAAGCTTACACACACCATTGTATACGAAATGGGCGTGGAAGAGGAAGGACAAATGTAAAAGTCATGACTCAACTGGGAAAGAGTTTTGCATATGCAGCTACATACCTTAAACTGCTAAGCACAAAAACCATCCTTATTTGGTCCTCATTGAGGGCAGAATACACACAAATGCTGTTCAAAGAACACGAGGTCAAGTCGGGAAGGAGACACGGACTGTCTGTGGAGTGGTGGGGAATGTTACTAGTACTCTTCTTACATCTCTGTGCCAAATGGATTCATAACACACGTGATTCATAAATAAAACCAAAGTGAAGATAGTTGTTCCCCCTTCCCTGTGCCCTTCAGACGTGGCCTAGATATATATACATGGTTTCTGTACAGCAAGAAATGTAAGCTTGGAAATCAGTTCTCTTCCCAGGTCCTCTCTTTTCAGTCCCTCCCACAGTATGCTGTCTTACTGAAAAGTAAATGGAAAGATGCTCTCTGACTTCAATACACAGGTTTGGGCAGAAACATGGCCGTACCACAAAAATAAGCAGAAGTGGGAGGAACAAGCTGGCTGTTCTCAGAGAATGTTGTGAACCCACAATGAATACTTCTCGTTCAGACCAGAAGACAATTTGCTGGTGAGAGGCTTTCTTCGACTACTCTGTGACTCACATACTTACTCGGGAAGGGAAGATGTGAAAGCAAGACCTTTCCCCTCTTTAAATGGAGAACTCGAGGCCTTGGGACAGCTCCTGGGTGATAGACAATATCTTCGGTAGGATAGTTTTGCTGTGATGTGGCTCATGGTCATATTCTAAGGAAACCACAGCCTCCTGAGAACTGTGTAAACTGTAAACAGACTACTAGCTGGTCTCAGGTGGCATTGGAAAAAGCACATGCCATGCCCACCAGGCTAGGAAGATACCATCCATCACCATGCCTCTTGTGGGAGTACACAAGTCAACCAGGACCCTGGCGAGGCTTGATGACTCGGACCACTGCAGCCTGCACTTGAGATGTGTTGTAAGCAGCGTTACCAAAGCAGTGGTTAAACGTAACTACCTGGGTCAAGAGGAGGAGAGCCAACCACGGAACTCCCTAATGGGGCAGAGCAACCAGGATTTCCACGTAATTGATGGGGAAAAAGCCCGACTGGCCATGAAGCATCCCTTCATACCAGTTTTCATCGATCTGATTAGTGAGTGTGATGATATCACCCTCCTTAAAACCCAATTCCCCTTCATTCTCAGGTTCAAAGTCGTACAGAGCTCGGCAGCAGGGCTGATCCATGGGGGCACCTAGGATTCAGAGCAGGAGAGAAGAACACAAAAGCACGTTTAACTCACAGCATCCAGCACCTGTGATACCCTCCTTTCTCTCCTCCTCACTCCTCTTCTTCCTGAGGCTTCTATTAGTGACTAAACCCCAGGGTCTGCTGCCTGGGCACCTTGCCCTCTACCAGTCTAGGAGAGCTTTCTCAGATCTTCGCAATTTCTGTTGTCAGAATGAAAAGTAGTCCTATGTATTCTTATGAAGGAAATTTTTGTAAAATTCTTACAGCAGAGCTCATTAATACTTGCCTTTATGATAACACTGACTGATGGGAGACTCAATGCCCCAAACTCTAACAAGATCTAGGTTCATAACACAGCATGGCCAGAATTCTTGCACTTTTAGGTCTCTGGGCATTTGAAATAGCACAACTAATTACATGGGTGATGCTTAGCTACGTCAGGATAATAGTTCTGTTTTCATGTAATATAAAATGTTAGCTCCAAGTTATTTTGTGTGATTCTGTACAAGGTGCTTTACTACATTTATCTAAAATTTGAAAGTAGACACTAATTCACATTATTACTGTGGCTGTTAAGCTAAATATAAAGCATATAATTTGGTAATATGTTCCATCTATAAATACGATCAGCACATTGAAACCATGGCATATAAAAATAACATATTTTATCCTGAGTAAAATACTGAAGGACAGAGTCATACCTTAAAAGACAGTTACTGTAAATGACCAGATATATTAATACAGCATGCAAAAATACATGCACATAGACTGAGACAAACGCTATAACCCCAGTACCAAGTAGACAACCTAGAACAAAACAATGGAATACATTTCTGATGTAGAGACACCAGAATATTAATGAGTCTCCCAGGCAAAGCGAAAAATGGGGTTGGTTTATGGGTCAGAAGAAGCACAAGGATAACCAAATTAACTGACTGGCCCTGGCAGCTGGCTAACTTTGTGGTTTGCACCACACACTGGGAGCTGCAGAGTGGAGCAAAAAGGACAAGAATGCCTCCTGGTGGTTCGGGCATCTCTCCTTTTGTTCTTAGGTTTCCTGAGAGCACCTTGACAAAAGTTTTCTATTATGGAACATCAAACAATGTGGAGACAGGAATCTATTATAGAACATCAAGCAATGTGGATACAGGAATAGAAACAAGCCACATCTTTAACATCCACATCTAGTTTAACACAGCTCCCACTTCAACTCGCTAAATGATAAGGTTCAAAATGTCAAGCACAAGCTTTTATTCAATCTGTGTTGTAGCAGGTGGAGCATGTGGCCACAGAAAGACTGTATCACCGGATTAGTAACAATATTTCTGATAGAAAAACATAATATAGCTACAATACAGCACAACAACCTTATGCTCCTGGTCACTCAATGTCCAACTCATGTTCCTGGAGCTACTGTCTGTGTGCCACAGGATCACATGTGGGCACATACGGCCAAAGTCTTTCATTTTGGTGCATGCTGGATTCACAAAAGGAAACAAACAGGAAGAAACAATGACGCCCTCCCAGCATCATACCTGTACGTTAAGGCGACTTACGACTGCAAATGAGGGTTAAAGGGTTAAGATGTTAGTGTGTACTGGCAACTGAGAATGAGATTAAGGGAAATACAAGGAGAGTTTGTTACAGATGTCTACAAGATGTGGGAGGTGAGGGCAAGAATTTCTTTACCATTGTACCTGATAAGCCACACTGCAAGAAATAAATTATGGTGTATTTCTTATGCAGCTAAACCTGACTGCCCCTAGGATTTCTGGAAAAGTGGCATCAGACTCACCAAAGGTGCCTGCAATGAAATCTGCAGGCCTAAGCCCCTTACCTGCTGGTTTAGGGGTGCCCGTGTGGGAGAGACCCCCATTGGGTTGAGTACTGTCTCCAGTGGGAAACTCCAGGCTCATTCGGGGTTTAGGCTGGTACTCTCTCCTAGGCTGAGATGAAGCTTGTCTTATTCTGCAGTGAAAAGAAAGAGTGGGGAGGAGGCTGAAGCCAAAGTAAAAAGAAAAGCAATACCACAACACTCGAGTCTCCCACAATCTTCCATGAACACGTGCAGGCAATTTGGGAAGGACACATCCGTGATCACAAGACGTCTCACCAGACCATACCCTTACTGCCTTCATTCTTTCTCTCCATTTCTCATTTCCTCCCACATACATATGGAGCTCTTTTTAAAAATATGTGTTTATGGGCCCAGCGCAGTGGCCTAGTGGCTAAAATTCTTTCCTTGAATGGACTGGGATCCCATATGGGCACCAGTTCTAATCCTGGCTACTCCACTTCCCATCCAGCTCCCCGCTTGTGGCCTGGGAAAGCAGTCAAGGACAATGCAAAGCCTTGGGACCCTGCACCCGTGTTGGAGACCCGGAAGAGCTCATGGCTCCTGGCTTCAGATTGGCACAGTACCGACTGTTGTGGTCTCTTGGGGAGTGAATCATCAGATGGAAGATCTTCCTCTCTTTCTCTCCTCCTATCTGTATATCTAACTTGGCAATAAAAACAAATCTTTAAAAAAATTTTTTTAATGTGTTTTCTTGAAAGGCAGAATGACAGAGATCTTCCATCCACTGATTTTTCCCCAGATGGCCACAAGAGTCAAGATCGGACCATGCTGAAGCCAAGAGCCACTTCCTTCACGGTCTCTCCTGTGGGTGTCACCATTTCTAGCACTGAGCCATCACCTGCTCTTTCCAAGGTACTTAAGCAGTTTAGACAACTTGGATTCTGATATGCAATGCAGGCATTCCAAATGGTGGCTTAAACCACTGTCACAACTCCTGCCCCTACTAAGAGTTGTTTTTGCAAATGTCTACCAGACTAGGAGCTACAAACACAAAATAAGATACATCTCCTGCCCTCAGGCAGCTTACAATCCACAGAGAAAGAGAAATGTAAACAACTGGATATCCTATGCTTAAGGAAGTTCTGTCACAGAGATGTATTTGGCAGGTACCACACAGGAACATGAAGGGTAGGGAGAGGGAGGGGTCCAGCACTTATGGGGAAGGCGTAAAAGTTTTAAAAAAAGAGAGAAAAATTACGCAGAAGTCAGAACAGAATACTAGGAAGGAGTAGGAGAACTGAGTTTAAGATACAGGGAGAGGTAGGGAATGAGGATGATAGGAGCAGAGTGGAAGGGTACAGACCAAAAAAATGTATCCTTTTAAAAAAGATCTATTTCAAATAATTTTGTAAATATTTTTATTAGAAAGAAAATCAGATGGAGAAGGAGAGAGAGAGAAAGGTTGGTTGGTTGATCTCCAAATAGCCACAATGGCTAGATCTGAGTTAATCCCAAGCCAGGAGCCAGGAGATCCTTCTAGGGCTCCCAAGTGTGTGAAGGGGCCCAAAAACCTGAGCCATCCTCCACTGCTTTCTCAGACCGTAAGCAGGGAGTTGGAAGTGAGAGCAGCGATCACTACAACTAGTGCTTACCTGGAACATTGACACTGCAGGTGGGGGAATCAGCCTACTGAGCCACCATGCTGGCTCCTTGACTGATTGGGTAGTTGGCTGGTTGGTTTATTGTTAAAGAAAAAAAAGAGAGATAGAACAACCTTCCACCTGCTTTTTCACTCCCCAAATGGTCACAAAATCCTTGATCCTGGGTCAGGATCAAGACAAATGCCAGGAGTTTCTCCAGTTCTCTCGTGTGAGTGTCAGGGACCCAAAGACTTGGGTCATCTTCTGTTGCTTTCCCAAGCATATTTCCAGAGAGCTGGATTTAAAGCGGAGGAGGCTGGCCTTGAAGCAGTGCAATGAGACCTTGGTGCTACAGGCAGTGACTTAACTCACTGTGACACAGCAACAGCAACAACAAATTCAATCTTACACATCACTAAACATCATTATGTACTTAGAACTACACCTCCAAACCATGTTGCACCTGTTAAAAACTAACTGAAAATTAAAAATTTTTTAAAAGCTCATTATTTTCCAGAATTTCAGATATTCAATAAATAAAATTCACAAGTGATCTGCAAGGATGGGGAAGGCTGAGGGCACAGTGCCTGCAGAATAGCACTGACTGTGAATTTCACGTGTGCTGTAAAGGAAGAAGAGGAAAGTGGTCCTTTCACATTTGACAGACAACACAAACACATAACACTTCCTGTGTGTTTTCATGGGTATGGTCTGAAGCTTTTTCTGGAAGCTTCAGTGCTGCGTACAGTTCCACAAGTGTGCACTGAAGGAGGTTACACAATCACAGCACTAATCCAGCAGATCCCAAGGAGAGGAGACAGCTGAGAATGCTAACAGGTGACGGTCTCAGCACAGTGGCTCTGTGTGACTAGCACCCCCATGATGTGATGAGCCATCTAATCAACCCCAGGAGTCTCATCTGACCAGGACATGACAATATCAGTCATTGAGGCAAGCCTTGGAAGTATGTTACATTTAGCAAAATCCTCCAGTTAATCTAGCTAAAGAAGATAATGCAAACTCCCAACTTAGGATGGTCTGAGTTCAGATTTTTCAATTTGATGATGGTGTGGAAGTAATACACACTCAATAGGAACTGCACATCAAACTCTGATCTTCACTGGGCTGGCAATGCACCATTGTCCTGCACTGTTATCAGGCTGAACAACAGCAGAGACCCACAGTTCTTAGCCAGCCTCACAGAAGGACAAAGCAACCGATCCTCTACAGTGTGCTAAGCTGTGCTCTACAGTAAATACAGTGTATTAACTGCATTTTGGACTTTATATTTAACAGGCTGCAAGCCTGTTGTAAGTCATGCCATATGCACATTGGGCCCCACAACTCCACAGGGCCTCATTCATGCAGAAAATGACTACAGCCTTACTGTGCAGTGTACCCAAGGAAGTGGAACAGGCATTTGGACATTACTGTCTCTGACTGTGGCAGAGTTTATCACTGTTCAGAAATACACATGGTCGAAGAGCTATAGGTGTTAAACCAGGTTATGTCTGACCCTGTGACGTGACCCTAGGCTAGCTACTTTATTTCCTGAGCCTCAGTGTGCTAATCCATTAGTTTATGCTAAAAATGTTTGGTTTGAGGTGGTTGGAGGCAGAATGGGGAGGATGAGAGGGGAAATCCCAGAGCCTATAGAACTATATCATGAAAAAATATATATTAGGGCCTGGCGTGGTATCCTAGCAGCTAAGGTCCTAAGCTAAGCACACACCAGGATCCCATGTGGGCACCAGTTTTAATCCTGGTGGCCCCACTTCCCATCCTGCTCCCTGCTTGTGGCCTGGGAAAGCAGCTGAGGATGGTCCAAAGCCTTGGGACCCTGCACCCACATAGGAGACACGGAAGAAGCTCCTGGCTTCAGATCAGCTCAGCTCTGGCTGCTGTGACCACTTGGGGAGTAAATCACTTGATGGAAGATCTTCCTGTCTCTGTCTCTCCTCTCTGTATATCAGACTTTCCAATAAAAATAATATTTTAAAAAAATTACTAGGCTTGCATGGCTAAGACTGACAATAAAATGTACTCAGCATTCACACGGAGTATCTGTTCTGCCAGCTGCGTCAGTTATTATCAGTAACATCCTGCAGCCCCACCTGTGGTAGGCAAAGGAAAATCAAAGCACAACTTTCATAAATACAAGATTAGATTCAATGTTACAAAATATAAATGGAACAAAGCACAAGTAAGTAAAAACAGCCTAGAAGATATCTTTGCAGGATCAGCAGGAACCTGGGCATTAGTTGGCCTACAACTGCATAGTCTTATTTTCATTTTTGTATCATTTTCTAATACAGAGATGAAAAAAATGAAAGTGCAAAATACCTTTCTTCCAGTCTGACAGTGACTTGCTGGAGGATCTGGACTGCCTGCTTGTGGTACTCCAGCTGGGCTTGCACCAGTGCAGAGAGCTGGCTCACCTGTTCGATCTGCAGATTGAGGGGGCAATCACTCATTAGTAACCAGGTCATGGTCTGTAAGAAGCAACTGCTGCCCTACAGTCTCCACATACATGATCCTGACACACAGCCCAGTGCCTGGGACTGCCGAGTCAGGCTAGGACAGACCCCGACACACAGCCCAGTGCCTGGGACGGCTGATGACTGCCTGCCGAGTCAGGCTAGGACAGACTGCTGGGTAAGTTCCAAACTGATTCAGAATCAGGAAGCATTCTAATTCTTAGAACTGTGTATACCGGTACATTAGTACCATGAGATGAAGCACAATTACTAAGAATCCTCACCAATATCAGTTAATCCTGTTTAAAAAGTCACATGCTTTGCTTAAATCTTGTCATTAGGAGTTGATTTCCCTAGATGATTTTTAAATTTGTATTCAAAGGTCAGATTTATACAGAAGAGAGGAAGATCATCCTTCCACTGGTTCACTCCTCAAGTGGCTGCAATGACCAGAGCTGAGCCAATAAGAGGCCAGGAATCAGGAGCCAGGAGCCTCTTCTGTGTCTCCTACGCGGGTGCAGGGTCCCAAGGCCTTGGGTCATCCTCCACTGTTTTCCCAGGCTACAAGAAGGGAACTAGATAGGAAGTGGCACCACTGGGATTAGAACTGGCATCCACATGGGATCCTGACACATGCAAGGCAAGGGCTTCAGCCATTAGGCTACCAGACCAGGCCCTGTATTCTTTTCAAACTCAGTTAACACAAGGCACAGAGAAGGCATTCTAGTATGATGGAAAAACCCGTGCTTCTGAGTGCCATTTGTTATGTCAAGACATTGAATCACGTGAATCTTGAGTTCATTCCAGTTTTTATGTTCTAAGCATCCTTGCCTACTTTTTTCGTGTATCTGTCTTGTGTTGTGACTAAGCTGAAGTGTGGCCTCCACATCAACAGAGCCGACGATGCCTCATTAGTGTGGAGTTGGGGAGCCACACTCTTAGGTCACCCTAAGACGCACAGTAATCCTCTTGAGTGGTTAGCAGGGCATGCATTCGTTCGGTTAATGCAAGTCATGCTGTTTATGCAGTATGTTCACAGGTGACACAAAAGCTATGATATGCTCAGCATGCCTCCCGTGCTACTATTACCTGGAGTCAGGTAATGTGTTGGTTAATGTTAGGTGTCAATTTGACTGGATTAATGAACACTAAAAAGATTGGTAAATTAATATCCACAAGGATACTTTCGGGAAGGAACGACATATGGAATCAACAGACCAAGTAAGAAAGATCTTTCCTTACTCAATGAGCCTGTTAAGCAAGAACTGGGTTTAAAAAAAAAAAAGCACATACTCTTGTCCACCCTCATTCTCTCCTTCCCTGTCTTGGGGCTGCTGTTCTCATCTTTTCCTGCTCTTGACCATCACAGCTCCTGGTTATCCAGCCTCGAGGCTCTCACACTTCACTAGTGTCATGCCTGACTCCAGGCTCTCAAGCTTCCACCTTCAGGTAAGTTACAGGATGAGTAATAGGCCTAGCAGTTAGGATGCTGCTTGGGGTGCCGCCTCTGGTTCTATCAGAGTGCCTGGGTTCCAATGCCACCTTCCTGTTAATGCACAGCCTAGGAAACAGCAGGTCATGATCTCCAGCAGTTGAGTCCTAGCCCCCAGTGTGGAGGACCCGGATTGAGTTCTTGGCTCACCACTGCCATGCTGAGCATTTGGGGAACAAATCATCATGTGGAAACTCTTTGTAACTCTACTTCTTTCTGTGTGTAAAAGAGAAAGAGAAAGAAAGAAAGAGGAAGAGGAAGGGAAAGAGAGATTGTGAAAGAGAGGAAGAGAAAGAGGAGGAGAAAGAGAAAGGAAAAGGAAGAGTGGGGACAAGAACCAAAGGAAGGAAGGGATAGAAGAAGGAAGGGATGGAGGGAAGGGAGAAGGGAGAGAGGAAGGTAGGCAATAAGGGGAAGGAGAGGGAAGGGAAGGTTAGAGGGAGGTTACACCTTCACGATCCCAGGTTCTGAGGCCCTCAGAGTTCAACTAGCCTGGGCCTGGCCATCAGCTCCTGTGATTCTTTCTCTAGCAGAAACCATATTGTAGGACTTCTCAGCCTCCATAGTCTGATGAGACAATTCAACTGATAATCCTGTCTTACGTATCTACATCTATATGCATATCCTCTTGGTTCCATTTCTTTGCAGAACCATGACTAACACAAATAGTAAGTAGGCTGAGGATCTCTACAGATCATGGCAGAAACTGGTCAGAAACAGATGGGGTGCGAATGGGAGATGGACAAGAGCAGGAGAGCTGCCTTAACAGGTCTTTACACAGGTCAGAAGAAACTGCCCGTAGCTTTGAAGTAAGCACTGTTTAGCATTATGTTAAACTACAGAGAGAAATGTTTACATGTAGTTTCCTGAAAATATGAAGGTAAATATTAAAGCATTTGCCACATGTAATATCCATGCTATAAGCATTTATCTCAATAAAAAGTCATTTGTCAAATGAAATGTCAATTTCTAAATAGAGAAAACCTTCATCCATGTGGCACACTCAGTTCTGAATGGATGTTCATGGGTATTCTTGGAGAATCTGGACTTTATCTGCCCTATATTTCAATAGAATATTTTTTAAAACTTTGGATTTATGGTTCATCAGAATCATTTTTAATCTTCCCACTACTATTAATATTGTAATATTGAGTAGTAGACAAAAATGGGTTAATGTGACCGATAAGAATATTTATTCTTTTTTTCAATCTCCTTTATCACTTGAAATTATTTCAAAGTACCATCTACTGAAATTTTCCTTACATACCGTAAGCAGGTATCAACATTTTCAATGAGACAATGTTTACACATTAATCTTGTACCCAAATGATAAAATTAAATTCACGGCCACAGGAGGGTTACTTACATCCATCTCCAAGAGGTTGAACATGCTTGACTCAGCAATCTCTTTGGACTCATCGAATTTCTCCAAGGCCTGACGGAGCTCTTCATCCGGAATCTTGCCTTGCCGTTTCTTCTTATAGTCAAAGTCCAGGCGACGACCTTCCAATTTCTTCAGATGATGCTAAAAAAGTCCATGGCAAGACAAAGCCTTGGGAATACTGAACAAAAAGGCCATTCACAGCTCCTTTCCCCTCATGCATATCAGCTCGTGAGATGAGGACAAGCTATATTTTACAGTATTACATCATTAGAGAAACGAAGACACCTGCATCTGTGAGGCAATTGGCTTCCAAAGGCAAAATGAGGGGAGGATCCTTAAAAACCATTAAGAACAAAAAAAAAACAATTATGGGAAATACCACTGCCCTTCTTTTCTTTGCAAGCTGGACTACACCCTTTCCAGCCCATGACATCAGCAGGCAGTATGTATAAACACCCCAAAGACACCTCAGAGGATCATACATTCCTGTCTTTGAGAGAAACAGCATATCATGAAAAGGGCAAGGAAGACACTTTCCTCACAGTCATGTGAGAAAGAGTGATATTATTACATTTTGGCTGCTAGAATGTGAAGGGACTTTAATCTTTGAAGCTGTCTATTAGAATCATGTAAATTGCTTCTGCAAAATGTAGATTCCTGACTGTGTGAATAGGAATATGCTGCTGAGCCAAGGCCTTAGGAAGCCATACTGTAGCACCTGACTGATGGGGTTTCCAGGGCACCACGGGCTACATTTAAGCTTCCCCCTCAACAGATGATGCAAATAAATCACAACTGTACATCACAAGAGCATGTCGCTAATGTTCCACACAAACATTCAATCCCTCCTGGCATCACTCACAGCCTCTTCTCAACCTCTCATGAACAGGGAGGAAAAAAGCAATAGTCGAGTATAGTGAAGAAATGAGAAAGAGGGAAGGAAAAATAGTATCCTAGGTACTTCCTCCCACTGCCCCATCCATGCCCCAACCCAGATCAACTTTTGGAAGGAAACACGTTGCTTTAAATCATCTGAACTTATTTGCAGTAATGTATAGGGCAGAGCACTGAGGTCTGGCCAGTACTTTGGATCCAGAGTATGGTCTGCACTAACCATGTGTCCCTGAAAAAAGCTGTAGGACTGGATAAAACTCAAACTAGAATAAGGAGATGTACGTTTATGGTCTGGCTGCACATTTTACAGTAATCAAATGAAATTTTATACAGGTTCAATAAACATATGTACATGACTGAGTGAATAATCAAACACCACAGGCCCAGCTACAAAGCCAGTTCAAATGTATTATTAGAAATATGAACAGCTTCATATGCTTTCAAAAGGAGATAGCTGAGTATCTTCCTAAATCCCAACAGCCAATACAGAAATTTAAAAAACATCTGCTTGTAGAGTGAAGGAGGTAGAATAGTTATTTATTTAGGCTAATAGCCAGTACAAGAAGCATTCTAGGGAGTAAAATATACCCAGGTAACCACTCTAACAGAATTTTATATTCTCAGGGGAAAAAAATACTATAATTGTGGAGAAAAAAAAGTTTGGAAAAAAAACTATTCAGTGTGAAAAATAAACTTAGAGAAGTAAAATGTAACTTTCCTACGTGGTACATCACAAGGAGCCAAAGCACACTGAATTGCTGGCTGTGGGCCCGGATGATGTTCTGCAACTACATGCCCAGCACCAAGAACAAATACAGTAGCAAAAAGCAAAAGATAAAACAAAACACACAAGAATAAAACACAGGGCTTCCAGAAGAAGCAGGCATGGCATCTGCACGACTTCAAGGGCCTGCCTCCCAGAGGACTAGCTGCACATACCTGAATTTCCCTCAGATCTTTGTCGTGAAGATTCTGAAGGGGGTCAATGAAGTTCTGCTTCACTTCCATGTCCAAAGAGTCTTTCACCTCCGAAAGTTCCCGCATAGCCTCGCCTACCTCACCAAGTGCTGGGCCTAGGAGAGGAGAAGCAAGCTTTTGGCATGAAAGAGCAAAGGTGGCAGGCATCTGCGAATTACTACATCCCTTCCCAGGCAAAAGCTCAAGACTACCACCTGTCACCCAGGAACGACAGGCAAGAGGATGCTTTAACAGTAAATGTGCAACTGCTACTCTGCATGGAGGTGAGTCCCAAAGGAGAGGAGGTGAAGGGATAAATCACATCTCCCCTGGGGCAATGGAATTAGGAACACCTCACAAGTGAGCTATGACATGAGAGAAAGCCAAGGGACACAGTTGAATCATTCTAACTGTGATGGCTCATTCTGCCTCAGTCTTTGCCTGACACACCCACAGAATGTGCCGAGGGCACCGGGATGTGTCAGCCAAAACTGTGAGGAAGACTGGGATCACAACATGGAAAAAGCAGAAAAGTCAAACTCCTAAAGCTAAATAACCCTAAGAATGATGTAAGTTTGGCCTAGAGGATAAGACCTCCACATGCCTCATTGATGTGTCTAGCTTCAAATGCTAGCTCCAGCTCTGGACTCCAGCTCTGTACTAAAACGTGTTCTGGGAAGCAGTAGTGATGGCACAAGTGGCTGGCTTCCTACCACAGATGGAGGCTCCCAGCTTTGACCCAGTCCAACCCTAACCATTTCAGGCCTTTACGGAATGAACTAGTGGATGGCACAGCACGTGAGGTTGTTCACATTCACCTTCTCTCTAGCCTCCTGCCCTCTTCAACAGTAATAAATAAATAAACAAACACATACATACAACAGTAACAGTTCTGAAAATAAAATTTTGACCCCTGTGTAAAGTTCTAAAACCTGAGAATCAAAATACAAAACCTGCTGACTCCATTCGCAGACTGATTCCTGGATGATCAACAGAATGAAAATATGAGAAACACTCCTTACCAAAGTTGCAGTCATCTCCAAGCTCTCTCCCAAACTTGAGCATGGCCTCTGCAAGCAGAGCCTCCGCCTGAGGGTAGCCTGGCCCCTTCTCCTGGCCACGGATTTTTGACATGGTGTTGATCATGCTGAGCTTAGCTCGGGAAGCTGAGGACAAACAGAACAGGCTTTTAAAGGTGGTGAAGTGACACAGTGACAGCAAGCTCCACGTGGCCCATGGAGCAGCTCAACTACCGCAGATCAGTCCACTCCCTGCAACTGTGCAGTGGAGGGTAGGGGTATGTCTACATTAACAATAGAAAGCCCAAACTTCTGTTTTCACTTGAAATCTTTTGCAGCACTAGACAGAAAGGCCAAAGCTATTTCTGATGAAAGATGCAGGTCTCTGATCTCATCACAATTTGGTCATCCCTGACCCCTTCTTAATGTAGTGATGGTGCACACCACCTCCCCCTGTGATGAATTCTGGAGAACAGTTTGAAAACTCCTGGATCATCTCTGTGGCTAATTTTCATTTTATATCTCCATTCTAACTGTCTCTGGATAGAAGAATGTGATGGTAAATACCTGCAGCGTAAGCATTACATCATTATCTATATTATAACATTATTACTTTATGCAAGTTTACATACTACTTCTCAATGAAGATTCTGATTATAAACAGACACTAAAAGCAAAAAAAAAACCCTGCATTAATTGAACATTAATTGCATCTGAAAAATTAGTTTTGCATCTAGGCATCTAACTTGCTTTCTTTAATTTTTATACAGTACCTATAAAATTTCTATAGTTTTTCATATGAGAGAAATATTTGTACCCCATTTCTGCTAGGGCTTATTTCATGATAGCTAAGATAAGGAACCAAGAAGAAGCCTGTTTCCCTACATTGCACCCATTTTCTAGATCTCATACTTCTCACTTTTCCTAATTTATAACCTCTTCCCTCTTTTCAGCAGCATTTACAGTCATAATTTTAATCCACTGGCTTAATGTGCCACTAATCATAATATTCAATAGGTAAAAAGAAAGACGACAGCACCACGTTCCGACTAGAGTATAAACATAGGATAAAATGACAAACCTATCCAAAAGTGACCATTTCATTCCTATACGATTTTATGTGTTTGATATTAGCTACACCATATCAGAGAAAACATATTTGGCTTTTGAAACTGGTTTATTTTGCTAACCCTAATGGTTTCCAATTCTATTCATTTTTTTAAAAAAAGATTTATTTATTTTTATTGGAAATGCAGATTTACAGTGAGAAGGAAAGACAGAGAAAGATCTTTAATCTTTTGGTTCACTCCTCAAATGGCCACAATGACCAGAGCTGAGTCAGTCCAAAGACAGGAGCAAGGAATTAGGAGCCAGGAGTTTCTTCTGAGTCTCCCATGCATGTGCAGGGTCCTAAAACTTTGAGCCATGCTCTACTGCTTTCCCAAGCCACAAGCAAAAAGCTGGATGGGAAGTGGAGTAGCTGCAATATGAACTGGTGCCCATTTGGGAACCTGGCACTTATAAGGTGAGGACTACCCAATTGAGCCATTGTGCTGGGCCTCATTTTATCCATTTTCTATCCATTTTGTTACAAAAGAGGATTTCATTCTGTTTCGTGGTCTAGAGTATTCCATAGTATATGTGTATAATATTTCCATTATCCAATCACCCACTGATGTATTCTTGGGTTGTTTCTATATCTTAACTATCATGAAATAAGTCCTAGCAGAAATGTGGTACAAATATTTCTCTCATATGAAAACTTTATAGGTATTTTAGGTGGGTCTCAGGATGGGGCGTCTCATGCCTGGATCCCAGACGCCAGCCACCATGTGCACATGGTAAACTATCCCCAGGTTTGTCTGGGCTCCAGGAGCTGCTCCCTTCGGGATGAGTACATGAGGGAGGAGGTCTCTGTGACTGGGCAGATCTGGAGCCCACCCGCCGACCTCATTGGGTGGTGAATGGGATTGGGGAGGGGCATGATCTTGGGCCCGGGAGTTTAAACTTCCAGCAGCCCATATGTGGGTATAGAGCAGCCATAGCTGGGCTGAAACATCCAACAGCAAGGACCAGTTTGGGTTTAAAACCAGTCAGGAAAAGCCACTGTTTCTACTAGGACAGGAGGTGAACTGAGTAGGGCTGGTCCATGGACCCACTGGTATGCGCAAAATCTGGCATGGGGAGAGGTTTTGACGGAGGAGCTCCACTGTGCTTCTAGGACTGGGCAGGACTGAGTGAACCTTAGCCCACAAGCAAAAGTAGAGACCAGGATGGAGCACAGGTCATGCCGAGCTAGGCTCTTGCACCTGCTGGTCTGTGTGAGACAGGAATGCTAAGCCACAGTGTCTGATAAAGGGGTCGGGACTTATGAGAGGCTGAGTCACAGCAACCATTGGCATGCACGTGATCTATGGCTAGGAACAGGCCTGGTTGTGGAGCTAAGGGGACACCCTAGCTGGGTGGAGGTTCCCACCAAGGGGCGCATGGGATGGAATGGGGGCTGTGTTCTGATCAGGAAATGGTTGTATCTCCTTTGGCACAAGTGTGGACTGGGACTGGATGCACCGAGCCGGGCCAGACTCCAACACCGTCTGGTGTCCTGGAGGACCAGGGTAGACATGGGATAGAATAGGCTAGGTCTCAACCCCTACTGAGCCATGTGTGAGCCATATGTGGGTATGGACAAGCCATGTCTGGGATGAAACATCCAACAGCAAGTACCAGTTTGGGTTGAAGGCCAGTCAGGAAAAGCTACTGTTCCTACTAGGACAGGAGGTGAACTGAGTAGGGCTGGTCCATGGACCCACTGGTATGCGCAAAATCTGGCATGGGGAGAGGTTTTGACGGAGGAGCCTGGGCAACTCATCTGGCAGGACACTGACCTGGCAGGTAAGCGCAAAAAACATGATAGGAAATAGCCCAGAACAGGCCATGGAAAGTTACCCACTGGCATACATTTGGCATGGGTTGGAGGCAGACCAAGCTGAATCAGTTCACATCATCCACTGGCGAATCCGAGCACCAGAACAGTGTGGGTTGAGCCAGGTTCGGTCACAACAAAAACCAGTGCACAATATGGAATGCCAAGGTGAGGTTACCTGTACAGGATGTGACCGCAGACCCCAACAAGCACTGTGAGAACCGGGAAGAGAGGGGGTGCAGCCAGCACGGGGATATGAAGGGATACCCTTGCTGGACAGCTACTCCCACTGGAGAGCATGAGCTGGGATGGCGGCAGACCAGACTAGGCAGGGCTACAACACCTGTGCGCCTCATGTGGACTTGATCAGGGAAAAGCCAGGTTGGGCTGATTACTCCTACTGGTACAAACAAAATTAGAGTGGGTGAGGGTTGTTTGGGCTTAGCCACAGCATTAGCTTGCAGAAATTGGCACTGGGGTCTAATTCTGTCAAGTCAAACCACAGAACTACCTGGAGAGTGCATAATCTGGGAGTGGGAGAGGCCTGGAAAGGAAATAGTGGGCTCCTCCCTCTTGTGTTACCACTTCCATGGGAGGGCATGAAAACTAGGACAGGGGCTGGGGTGGCTAGACAGACACCCAACAGCATTGTGTGGGCTGCATAGTGGAGCTGGTTTGGTGGAACAAAGCTTTAATATCCATCGACATATACGAGAGCCAGATGGGGTATGGGACAGACTGGACTAACATGCTACACATACTGGCACATCAGGGTAGGGGGCAGGCCTGGTCGGGTTATAGTGGGTTGCTCCAACTAGGCTGCGGCTCCCACTGGTTTATGTGAGGGCCGAGTATGTGCTGGGCAGAACCAGGCTGGACTGCAACACCCATTGGTTCCAGTGGAAGCCGGGGCTGAAAACAGAACCAACCCAGCACTTGCAACTACCAGCTGATTAGGGCGATGGACTGTGCTGGGTCCTGTAATTGCTAGTACATACAAGAATCTGGTATGAGAACACTTCAAAGTTTCTTTGGAGATATCCCCAATCAAAATGCTGCACTCAGAACCCTAACCAAGAAAAGACAGAAGACAGAACAGGTCAATCAACCATCTCAGCTATTATGTTGGCATCGAAATACGAGGCAAATAGAGACTCTATGATGGACTATGTCAATCATTGGATTCTACAAAGACTTCATCATACTTGGAGTGGCAAGATTGGCAGTAATTCAGAGCTATTCAACTATCTAAACGTCTTGAGCAGGACTCTTGGCATGCACCCCTCTTTGGGAACTCTGGGAAGGCATCAGGTGGCTGTCCTCCATCACAGGATATGGAGGCGGTTGGGAGGCTGGGTGTGGCTTCTCTCTTTGTATCCCCCTTCCCACCTAGATGCAGGTAGGAAAAAAAGACAGAAAATGTGAAAATTGTGGTCTCACCTACTTTCCTGCAGCCCTTGACCCTTTGCACCCTAATCAACTATGTAAAAAAATCATCAAAAATAGGGCCCAGCACGGTGGCGCAAGTGGTTAAGGTCCTCGCCTTGCACGCCCGGGATCCCATATGGGCGCCGGATCTAATCCCGGCAGCCCCACTTCCCATCCAGCTCCCTGCCTGTGGCCCAGGAAGTCAGTCGAGGACAGCCCAAAGCTTTGGGACCCTGCACCCGCGTGGGAGACCCAGAAGAGGCTCTTGGCTTCGGATCGGCATAGCATTGGCCGTTGCGCTCAATTGGGGAGTGAATCATCGGACGGAAGATCTTCCTCTCTGTCTCTCCTCTCTGTATATCTGCCTTTCCAATTAAAAAATAATAAAAATAAATCTTTAAAAAATCATCAAAAATAAATTTTTTCAAAGGACATATTTGCAAAGTCTTTTCCACAACAAGCCATGTCTGGACCAAGAAAGCCATTGTCTACCTTCAAGGTACTCACAGTGAAAGGAGTCATCAACATAAATAGTGGCCAAAAAATATGGTCAAGACTGACAACTAGTATGCACAAGGTACTAGAGTGAATAACAGTGCAAAAGGAATCAAACCCACACAAGATGCTAAGAGACACATAATGGAGGAATGAACAAAGATAAACAGGGATTGAAGGAACACAGAATTTAGCCCACCAGAGTTAATTCCTTGAAGTTCTGCTTTGAACAATCTACTTGCCAAAGCATGACAATTGGTTGTTAAGCTGCTTATATCTTGCTTCTGTTAGCTGCTCTCTG